TGCTGAGCTTCTTTTTAGTGTATTTTTCTATTTTCTGTTTTTATCTCACTTTCTCTATTAGTACTTTTCTTTCCCTTCCCTGTTGCCATACAACACTTCACACAGGTAGCTGGGGAAGCTGTCAGTCCAAGGGGATCTGTAGGCACATGCAGGTAACTTGAGAGTCTTCATCTTTTCGGGAAAGGCACTTTCCCACCTGCAAGTCACTGCCTTGCACTGAGTTTGTCACTGTGAACATTTCAGTTCGATTTCATTTGAATTTGTGTATTTGTTGTTCTTACCAAGTCACTAAAGGGTAACAAAGCTACTTGACAAGAAGTGTTGGGCGACAATTCTGGGTTGCCGCTGCCTCACTCAAGTACTAGCAGAAAGTAGATCTCTGAGCAAGACAGGAGAGGTTTTATTTTCTTGCACGGAGGAGTGACTCCAAGGACTGTGGTGCAATGAGTCAGTCGAATTGTAATTGCTTTAAGAAGCAGAGAAACTTAGAGAGGGGGGTGAAACAGTGTGCTGAGAGATGATACAGGAGAGATGGTGGAAATGCCAGTATGGCCTCCTATCCGCACTTAAAATTCTCCTCCAGCATAAGGAAGAGACGTAAGGGAGGGACAGAGGGATGTGTGAGACAGTGCTTTTGTGAGTCCAGCAGCTCTGCACTTTCATCTCGAAAGAGATAGGCTGGCATAAATGCGTCCCAGGCTCTGGAATCTGGCAAACTATTTACGGCTCGGTTAGTTTGTGTTGTTTTGGGAGGGTGACAGAGAACAAAAAGCAGAGGAGCAAAGTGCGAAAGGGACATTTGTCCACTCACTGTATTATCGAATGGAGAGAAGTAATAGATTGCTGGGCAGGATAATGTCATCCCACACACCAGCCTGTAGTCGTGGGTTATGTTTTCCCAAATGCTCATTCCTTTCCTTTCAGTGTAATAAGAATGTAATAAACATTGTTATTTGAGGGAGAGCAAGGGCGTGGGCTCCCGGGGCGTTCATTCAAGCCAGCTCTTAACTTCGCCCTGGTTGCAAAATGGACTCTGGAGCTCCAGTGGCCGGTGGTGCCGGAGGCCCTGGCACATGTTGGAGGTGCCAGTGCTGCTGCTGCAGCAGCTGCAGCTGAACTGGCACCAAATACACTGAATGGGAAAAACAAACTCATAAATGTCCTCTAATTTAAATCAGTTGATCATCTGTGGGGTTGTATTAATAGGGAATGCAAATATGATTTTAATACAACTTTATTACGTTTAAAGGAAGGAAATGGTTGTTAACTTCTATATGTATCATTTTAGAAGTACTTTTGGTTCATGATTTGAAATGTTTTTTCACCCAATTAATGTGTTCCTCACACTGGGATGATGATTATTTCAACCTCAGAATATTTCCAGGTGCACTGTCTCTAAGGTTTAAGTATTGCAGACCTCCTTCTCGAGATCTTTTTCAAAAAGGCACATGCTTTATTCAGCTCATTTCATTGCTGACCCGACAGTTCCGTCTGTTTGTACCTTTCAGTGCATTTCTTAACAGAAATGTAATGCGACTGTAATGAGGAGCTATAATTAGTATTAATGAGGCTTCCTGGAAGGAGCAGTCATCGCAACATTTTACCGTCCCTAAAAATAATAATGTTCCAGCGCCTCTGGCTGTCTCCGATCCCGGGGCGGGGACGGTGCTCCCCCCGATCGCAGTGCAGGGACGGTGCTCCCCCCGATCCCAGTGCAGGGACGGTGCTCCCCCCGATCCCAGTGCGGGGTCGGTGCTCTCCCCGATCCCAGTGCGGGGTCGGTGCTCTCCCCGATCCCAGTGCGGGGTCGTTGTCCCCTCGATCCTAGTGCGGGATCAGTGCTCTCCCCGATCCCGGGCGGGGTCGTTGTCCCCTCGATCCCGGGGCGGGGTCGGTGCTCCCCTCGATCCCAGTGCGGGGTCGGTGCTCCCCCCGATCCCAGTGCGGGGTCGGTGTCCCCTCGATCCCAGTGCGGGGTCGGTGTCCCCTCGATCCCAGTGCGGGGTCGGTGCTCTCCCCGATCCCGAGGCGGGGTCAGTGTCCCCTCGATCCCAGTGTGGAATCTGTGCTCCCCTCGATCCCGGGGCGGGGCCCCCTCAGGGCGCAGAGACAGCGGGGGCTCCGTGGCGGCCCCGCCCGCCCGCCAGGGGGCGCCGTGTCGCAGCGGCCGCCTCAGGGGCTGGGGCGGGCGGTGCCGCGTCCCGGCCGTGTCCGCGCCGTGCGGGAGCCGGGATCGGGAACACCTTCAGCCCCGTTTCGTGCCCGACATGGGCAGCAGCTCCATGGGGAACGCCCGGTGCGGATGTGACATGACACACCGGGCGGGCGCTTCGGGCGGTGCGCGTCGGGAATGACGCCAGTGACACCAGAGCAGTGACAGCGGGTCGCGCTGGGGGCAGACACCTTGCAGGTTCTGAAAATGTTGAATTATTTGGCAAGAAAACACTGGTTTTTCTGGTTTTTTTAGTATTTATTTTGTCAAAAATCCATCTGAAAATGTTGCTACTTCAGATGTAGCAAATTAGATTAAAAATGTATTTTAAATCCTCTATTAATTTCTCTTACGCTGTTGCCAGTTTACTGAAGTTTTGATGGGCAATTTAAGTAAGGCCGCTATAGAAAATGGGCGGTTATTGCTGAACACATAATTAGTCTGTATCCTTGGAATTCTGTAAAACTTTGCTGCACTAAATAACAGCTGTTAATGCCTGTGGAGTATCTTTAGTATGCACGATTCATAGTACTTTGCAAATCATTAAAACATTACATTGTTTCACAAACAATGCCATGTACGTCACAGAGGAGCCAAGACACACACTGGGAGCAGACTGCAGGGAAGACGGAAATAATGAGCTCGTCCTTTGACCCCATTTTGATGACTCTTTGACCCAAAAAGTGGGTAGTCCTTCATAGGCGGGTAAGGCTGAAAATCAGGGCCTCTGAGGAGGTTACAAATTGAACGCAGGAAACCTTAGAACCTCTGATATTCACATCAGGCTCAGAAAACTATCCATGGTTTCAATATTTATTGAAATACACCTGACATCTGTTAGAAAGGAGGGATCCTTGCTGTCAGCTCTGCTATTCTGAGAGTACAGAATGCAGTACAGCAAGCATATGCAAAGTCTGACCTTTGTGTCAAAGTTAAATGACCTTGGTCTTGCTCCCTGCAGTTCTGGAGAGGTGGAGAAGCTTCTGGGTTTCACCATTGACCTTATCCCCACCTTTTGAGAAAAAATGTTGTGGACTAACTAGGAAGACTACTAAATGATGAGGTCTTCATTTTCCATAGTTACAGCAGCTTTACCAAACCACATTTAATCTTACTCTGTCAATAGCCAACTGCAAGCCCTCGTTAACTTTTGCAGAGTTACCATCAAGGCCCTTGACCTGATTCTGCCAGAGAGCTCCAGGCAGTTTTAGATATCTGTTCT